AAACAAAAAAGGGCTGGGGAGGTAGCTCAGTGGTAAAGCAACCCTGGGTTCAATCCCTAGCATCAAAATAAATAAATAATTTTAAATATTAAAATTAAAAAGGAAAATCTATATCATTTTACATTCTCTACCTCCTACGTCTGCACCCAACATGTGTAATCTCTCTATTGTAGGGGTCCATGTGTTTGGGGAAAATGGGATAGAAATAGGTATATCTTGTAATTAATTAGAGGACAGCATCTGTTGGGTCATGGGACCTTGTAACTAGATTTTAGGGAGGCTTATAGTCTCCATCCCAAATCATTAAAATTTAGACGTGATATAAGAACAAGTCCAAATATCCTACAGAATTTCTATGACTGTATTTGTTCTTCCCAAGGACACCCTGGAACACCCAACTGTAAAAGACTTTTTGAATAGACATGTTGGTGAAGAAGGTATCACTGCTGAGGTCCTGCTAAACTTCCTCTATAAGGGTCCTCCGGAGAATCGGGCTGATGGCATGACCAACTTTGACTGGAGAGACATATTTAATATCACTGACCGTTCCCTCCGTCTGGTTAATCAGTACCTGGAGGTAAGTGAAGCAGGCCACCTGAGGGCCTCAGGGAGCCCCTTGAAGACAGCCCTATGAGTGGAACCAGAGATCCCTTAACCAGTCAAGTGGTCTTGGGTTTAGGCTTTCATTTCCCTTAGTAAAGAAACAAGAATTCTCATGGCTTAACAGATGCTGACCTCTATCTAATACCTTCTCCACACTTAAAAAGATTTCCTTTTCATATCTCCTGCTTCCTAAGTGCTCTGTGACTCCTTGACTGGCTCTTCCTCCCTTGTATCTGTCCTGTCTACCATGGCTGCACTGTCCATCTATTGACCAGCGTCCACCAAACCTAAAGTCCTGAGGCTAGCTGCTTGAGGGCAGCTTCTTCCCCACCATTCTACAAGCATATCAGACTCAACAAGTTAAAGAAACAAACTCACCTCCCTCCCTATCAAACCTATCCTTCTGCATTTCCTGTCCTGATTAGCATCATCAACATTTGCTCAAATTCTCAAGCTCAGTATTTTAGAATCACACTTAATTTTCTTCCTTCTTCATCTCCACCTGAGAGCAGTCTTTTCTTGAGTGTTACTCCGTGCTGAACACTGTGCTTCATGCTTTTGCCTATAGTAGCCTCCTAGAATCCTCATGGCTCCATAAAGTGCCCTGCATTATCACTTCCAGTTTACAGATGCAGAAGCTGAAGGCTAAGGATGTTGAATAAGATCCCAAAGCTTTTAGGAGTGTGGAGCGGAATCCAAATCTGATTGTACCTGGCTTCAGTGTCGCCTGAGCTTTGTCTCCTCCACCTCCTAAATATCTCTCAATTCTGTCTCTGTTTTCTGGGATCTCTGAGGATTAGAAGCCTTGTTGTCTCTGTGCTAGCCCATGGCTGCCCTGGACTCCAGAGTCCTGTCTCTGCTGGCTCAAGCATTTCTTCACACTGACACCAGAGCTACATTCCAGATGCACATCTGCTTGCATCACTCCCTCATTTAAAATCTTAATGATGCAATTCCTAAAGCACTTGGCCAGTGCCTCTCCATTGGAGGTGGCTCAGCTTCTGGCAGTCCTCAATGGTCATTCTTACACCAAAAATTCCACAGAAAGAGGGAATGGCTTCCCCACAGCACAAACAGTACCCAGAGAACTCCCCTTCTGGCCAGGTTCCCATAACTATCCCTGTCCCCCTCAGGTGAGTATACTCCAAGTAGGAGGCCTGGGTTATATGTCCACCATGGGGAGCATTACTAAGAACAGGATTACCATAAACTGGGTGAGGGTGTTTCACGAAAAGAAGAAAAATGAGGTAGAAAAACCGCTAAAACTAATAAAACCTGAAGGGACTTCTTCCCTTTTCTCCATCTACTCATTCATTCTTTGAGTCTCAGTCCTCAAATGTCCCTTCTGCTTTAACATAGGTTTAGTCATTTACTCCTCTTTCATTTACTCTGTGGCTCTCTCTTCACACCTTTCAGACCCCTGTCCAATTCAGTTAGAGTCATTTTCAAATTCTCAGCTTCACATCTCCAGGGAATATCTCCATCTAAGGCCTGATCTTGCCACCAATGAGCTCTGGGGCCTGGTGTCATCTAAAACCATCAGAAGGTAGATGTTTAAGCCATAAAGGAGGAAATGAACTGAGAGTCTCTGGAACCAGCAACCCTCCTATCTCAGATGTGTGGGTCCTGAGGAAGACTGCCTACTGAGGAGGAACCTGGCTGTGCTTTCCTGGGTGCCTTTGAGGACTCCCTGCTGCCCTGCAGCCACTAAGAGTTCCCTAGGGATATGATCCTCCCTCTCCATGACCCTGGAAGTGTTAGCACACACTTCATAGGTGACTTCTCAAAAGGTGCCGAACATGGCAGCAGCCGCATCAAAGTTTAGAGAATTACAAAGCCATTCTCAAGTTGTCTGAAAACAAGAGTGACCTTGAGTGTTTTTCATAAAACACATTCCTAGGCACCAGCCTAAATTAACTGACTCAGAATGCCCTGGGAAGAGGCCTGCTAATCTCTATATTTACACAGCTGTTAGATCTGTGGAGTCTTGGCATTCCTGGGCATAATTAATTGACATCACTCTCCTCTTAAAGTGCCTCTACCTGCTAAGTCCACACCCCTAGCCAGGCCCACCACCATTCACAAACTGCTATGATCCAGGCAGGACTAAACAGGGGGCTCCATTCCTTTATTCTTGCAAAATAGAGTTCAGTCGTTCTCACAATGTTTTCATGAGGTCCTATAATGAATACATCTTAACTTTTTTTGACTTGATTATTTGTGTCTTGATATAAAGGTCTTATTTTCTTGAAGGATTGCTTTCAAAAAAATAAAAACAGGTAGCTTATGCTTAATGTAGCACCAGGCACCCAACAGATACTTAATAAATATTGATTACTCAAATAGTTAAGAATTCAGTCTCCAGACCCTGATGTTCCCTGGGCTCAAATTTCTACTACTTTTTCCTCAGGTTCCATCTCTATAAAATGGGGATATTAATAGTACTTAACCAGCAGGCTTGTTTTGAGAATTAAAAGAGCTAATTGAGACAAAGCCTGTCATATAATAAGTAATTAATAAACGTTAACTTTTAAACAAAATACAATCAGACAGACCTCATCTAAATCAGCCCCTTCCACAAATGAGATCACAAAACTGCTAATTATATCCTGCCACCAGGACATTCTCAGGGCCTCTGAGTAAAGGCCACCTGGTCATAGGTCAGTGGCCTCCCCCAGGGATTCCTCAGAGGGAATTTGATGGTGGAAGAACTCCAGCAGGTATGATAATGTGGTTTCTGATCTTTCTGACCTTAGAGGTAGGGAGGAGGAAAGTGAGGTGGTAAGGAACTAAAAAGACAAGATAGTTGGGTGAAGAAGCAAAAAGTCACTGTGATCTGCCCGGGATTGCTCTGCTTTTGTTCTTATGTTTTGGAAAGTTTGGAGGAACTTGGCAATCCCTCTACCCCCACCCTGAGGATCCCTCAGTAGCAGAAAGGCCATGAAAATCCTTCCCTGGTGACTCTGAAGGTCTCTCCAGGACAGGGAAGCAAGTGTGTCACTGCATAGGTAGATTAAGGCCGGCATGGGACTCTTTTTTCAGTAATTGAGCTTGTACTAAAGAAAACTGAACATTTCTTCCTATGCCAGCCTCTGTTCCTGTATCCCTGACTGTTCCAAAAAAGAAAAAATAATCTATTAAGGAAAATTAAGCAAATGCACTTTTGAAAATGATGTCACTCAAATCAAGGTGGCACTGATTATGATATTGAATAGAAACCAAGCTCAAATCTTTAAGCCTTTTGTCTATATAGAAAGTGACAGTGATTTAATAGATACTTTTCAGTTGCTAGAAGGGCTAAAATCCCTTCCTTAAGGTGAGGCCCTCCGTACTGAACATCCCATGGAGTCCAGTAATCAGAGAGTGTCTGGCTCATAGCATATTCTCAGGAAGAAATTCATCACGACAAGGCCATGTGACCTCTTGTGTATTCTAAGAAAGAAATACGGACACTAGCACCCCAAAAGTATTATAGGAACAAATGGTTAGGGAAAAAACCAATGCCAGTACAATAAACATGTTTTAACAGTCTGTATAAGTGAGCAAACTCTCGCAGTCAAACTCAAAGAAATTCTGAGGTTTGCTCTTTTGTGGATGCATTTTTTTTTCCTCTTCCAGGAGGAGAAAATAGACATATGAGGGAAACCCCTCTGTTAGTGTTTCTTGTCATCAAACTGTAATTGAAAATGATTTCTCAGGTGAAATCATTTTCACTGTTTGTTCTTCCTTTCCTCCTCCCGGTTTATCGCTCAGCTGTCAATCCTGTGTGTTTGGAGTGACTTGGGAAGGTTCAATGCTCAGAATCAATCTCTCTCTTTCTCTTTAAAACTCTTTTATCATTAGGCTTTTCTGATCTTCTGAGCAGCCTGTGTGCACTATGTCCCTACTCCCTTGCCTCCCCATGCTAGGGAGTGAGAGCTATATTTTTGTCATTCTGAGGACTTGCATATTTTAACAACTTGAACAGCTGGACAGTACAACCCTCAGGGAGAAGAGCAAGTCAGCATTTGCAAGCCACCTGGGAATCCCCATGTTTAGACACACTGAGAAATTAACACTAGACCCAGAGTTAAGAAAACGTTCAGTTTATAGGTCTCTTTGCCTTTCACTCATTTCCTGTGGCAGCATCTTATCCTTTGTCTTTTGAGTCTCTGCAGCTGATGCTCCTCAAAGTCCATTGGCTCTTGTGATTATCTGCAGTGCCTGGTCCTGGATAAGTTTGAAAGCTATGATGATGAAATTCAGCTCACCCAAAGAGCCCTCTCCCTGCTGGAGGAAAACAGATTCTGGGCTGCTGTGGTATTCCCCGACATGTATCCCTGGACCAGCTCCCTACCACCCCATGTGAAGTACAAGATCCGGATGGATATAGATGTGGTGGAGAAAACCAATAAGATCAAAGACAGGTAACATTTCAGGCAGGGCTCAGTGGGCTCCTCCAAAGTCAGTGGGATTGAGGCTGGACTCGGTCTACTAATAAATACAATTGTTATGCAAGAGAAAATAAGATATGTTTGTACGGCTCAAAGTTGAGTCCTTGAGGGTTGGGGATGTAGCTCAGTTGGTAGAGTGCTTGCCTTGCATGTACAAGGCCCTGGGTTCAATCCCCAGCACCACACAAAAAAAATAGAGTCCTTGAACAAAAGTGATTACAGAGTCTTGCTGTGGCTCATAGCTTTGAGATTTAAACTATGACCTAGAAAGCAGAACTGAATAGTTTGGGAACATTTAGGAGAAAGATATTCAGAGAGTGAGTCCTGAGTCACTTGTGCATGGGGAGTAGGTAAGCTGCTCATTCCCAGTCACATCCTCTGTTTCTCCCTCCTATGTCTTCTTAGGTACTGGGATTCTGGCCCCAGGGCAGATCCTGTGGAAGATTTCCGGTACATCTGGGGAGGCTTTGCCTATCTGCAGGACATGGTTGAGCAGGGGATCACAAGGAGTCAGGCCCAGGTGGAAGTTCCAGTAGGAGTCTATCTCCAGCAAATGCCTTACCCCTGCTTCGTAGATGACTCGTGAGTCCCAGGCGGCCCATCCTCCTCCTTGAAAAGCTAGTGGCTTCTAGGGTTGGGTGCATGTTCCCAAAGATTCAGTGTCTCCAGAGAGAACCCTGGGGACTGGGTCCAGATTAAAGAGAATAGAGCTGTGACTAAGCTGGCCCCCAGCTCCAGGCAGGGGTAAAGGAGAAAGTGAAGGAAGAAGGGAAAGAGCTGATATTAGAAGTGCAAAAGAGAAGGTGAAACTTAAAGCCTTGGAAGTGAGTTTGGGGAAGGAGATATGAAGGCTATCTAAATTTCCCACCACCTATATTAGATGGGTTCTTGTCAGTGTGATTGCCCACTGATTGCCAAATCAGCAGATTTGGATTCTGCATAGCAAGTAGGTCTGGCTCCTAGGAGCCTCAGAGTAATGCAGTTGTTTCCATAATTAACATTCCCACAATGTATGCTTAATGAAAATGTGGAGGAATGCATTGGATGGGTCGGTCTCCTCCCCTGGCCCCCTCAATCCCCAGGCCTGTCATATCTATACTGTTTTACTGAACATAGAATTAGAGGGTGATAGAGAGTGAGAAAAAGCTGGAGAGGAGATGGGAGGACACACTGATCCTGGCAGATGGGGTCAGAAACATTTACAGGACAATAGTACAGAACTACAGTTGGTTTATGGATTCAACTCCAAGGGTTGGGGGAGGGAGATTGGGAAGTTCACCAGAGTGGATGTGTGTATCTCTGGGGTTCAGGAAAGAGAGAAGCATGAACAACCTTGAAGAAAGTAAGAGTCAAACTGCCAGCTGGAGAAGCCAAGTATGGAACACAGGAAGCCCTCTCTCAACATTCTAGTCCAATCAGTTCTTCAGCCATAGCTCTGTGGAAAACCAGTGAGATAACAGAGACTGTTCTGCAGTTAGTGTGGGTTTGGACAAAAGGCAGAGATGGGAAGTAGAGCCAAGGGCAAAAGCGCAGGTCCACATTTAGGATCAGAATGGAAAGTGGGTGAGTGTGGGGTGACATTGAGTTTGGGGTCATTCAGTATGGGAAAGTCCTCTGGTGGCCATTCTTGAATGAGCATGCTTTATGAATGCATGATTCTCTCCCTGGGGCCGTTTTAAGTGAACATGTGTACCCTGGAATCAGGCCTTTCTTGTGTCAACACCCAACAGTTTTTGATAATAATAATCCCAAAGGCTTTTCTAGAATGTTACACACAGAGAAACGTGAAAATAATTCCAATATAGCAAATTTATCCTGCTTGTTGGAGTATATATTCAAGGATCTACTCTACCTCTGCATGGCTGGTAGAATCAGTGGCTATTGGATCACTGATTTATTGATTGGTCAACTGTCATCCAAAAAGGCCACAATGATTGGTTATATTTATGCCTCTTTCCCCATAACTAAGATAAACCAGAATATAACCTTTCAGGCAGATAGTGCAGGGCTGACTGACTTCCCAATTGTCCATCTCACCTCCTTCAGTTCCCCTTGGTTGTGCTCCACCATCCTGGTCTTCATTGCCAGTTTACATGTACCTCTCTCTTCCAATCACAGCCTACATCATCAAATCTTTTCACATTAGTCCTTATAGGGAAGATCTAGACCTATATTATGTGACATATATATATGTGATTTACTTACCCATTTACCTGTAGACTGTTTATCTACAGGTAACCAGAAAACCACTGTCTTTCTCAAAAGAGAAAGTAATGCTTCTGGAAAAATATGGAGTGTATTAAAGGATCCAGCCCACTGAATGCCCAATGGAGATTTTTTTCTTCTTCCTTTTTACTCTATTCCTTTGACAAGTATTTACTCTATCTCCATCAGATACAGGATACTCTATTATTCTGCCTCTCTCCTCTTCCTTTAGTTTTATGATCATCCTGAACCGCTGTTTCCCTATCTTCATGGTGCTGGCATGGATCTACTCCGTCTCCATGACTGTAAAGGGCATCGTTTTGGAAAAGGAGTTGAGGCTGAAGGAAACCTTGAAAAACCAGGGTGTCTCCAATGCAGTGATTTGGTGTACCTGGTTCCTGGACAGCTTCTCTATCATGTCCATGAGCATCTTTCTCCTGATGATATTCATCATGGTAAGCCAAATGGAAAAGGCCTAGAAATTTGTAAACAGTTTTGTTCCTTATACCTTTCCTCCTGTTAATGAACTTGCACCTATTAGTCATCTGGCTACCAAGTATAGCATGACATCCAGCTTCCCAGCCCTTTCAGCCAAGGTAGAAGATTCTCAGAGAGAGAAAGCCTTCCTCAAGGAGCGTATCATGACACCTTCCTGCCCCTGACTACACAGATTTTTCAGCCCCATTCCATGCCCCTCTGGAGAGGCTGCTATTAAGAGAAGCCAGCACAGGGTGATTATGTGTTCAAAAGGGTGTTCTCTTTGCACACATAGAATGAGTTCAGGAACTTTTTTCCTGAGATTATCATTCCAACAACTGGCTATAGCTGAAAGTGAAATGCTCTTTCAGTGGTATTAGTGCAAGGGCCCTGGACTATTTATTAATCATCATCATGGCTATAACACTCATGGCTTCACAAAATTTTTTTAAAAATGTGCTCCCTATAAAATCATCAAACCATCTCTGCTTTAAAGGATGGTATTTGGGGACTGGGGTAGTGGCTCAAAAAAAAAATCTTCACCATCTTGTAGTGAGTGTTCCTCTGTCCTATGCAATAGTGTAGTGATCCACAGACTTGTTGAGTGTCTCCCATCCCATACTGGACCATACCTGGAATCTCCCTGATCCAAGAATGTTCCATCATATTTCCCGTCCAACTAACATATCTATTTAAACAAGAATCCTGTCCATTCTCTTTATAATAAAATTCCTAAATCTCAGGGATTTTGTTTTATAGTGTTACATTGTAATCCAGTGAGCTGTGGCCTTGGCCAAACCCAATGCTAAAGTTGAATGAAAACCAGTGCTAAGGTGGATAGAAGTCAATCTCAAACAACCTGATTCCACCTGGATGTGGCTTTAAATTTGCAAATGGGACCAGAGCACTACAGAGATGAGGGGACCAACTTGTCAGCAACTTCTTTTATCCCATCCTTGGGTCTGCTTATTCCCCAGTGCCTAGATAATTTGTGTTCTCAGAACTAAAGGAGTCAGGGGCTGGGGTTGTGGCTCAGGGGAGAGTGCTCATCTAGCACTTGCGAAGCCCTGGGTTCGATGCTCAGCACCACATAAAAAAATAAATAAGTAAAATAAAGGTATATGTCCAACTACAACCAAAAAAATAAATATTAAAAAAAAGAACTAAAGGAGTCAATATGTAAACATCTGACTGAACACCTGTGAGGCTTTGCCTGACTTGTTGCTAATAACTAACATGGAGAACTGCCTTCCTAAGAATGGACTATTTGGATTTCAAAGCTAGGACATGAGGTAAAGAATGGTCGTGAAGAGTTTCTAGCACAAAGGTTCCTCCTTGTGAAAATCAGAATATTACTCCAGTGATAAGCTGAGCATTCTACAAAAGTAGGGTTTTCTTTTAAATGACTTTCCCATCTTCCCTTGTTCCTTCCTCCCCAACTCAACAACTCAGGAAAGAAGCTGGAAGCAAAGACAATGGAAGGTTCCATTGTTATGCAAGCTGCTAGGAACAACAACATAAAACAGTGGTCATTGGTAAAAGTCAAAGCCAGTGAAATAGTAGTGTTGGCCAAATGACTTACATCCCTGGCTGAAGTCAGTGAGAAGTTACACAGCCTGGGCGTTTGTGGGATTTTGCTTTGGGCTGGGACAAGAAATTGATTTCATTCTTCTAAGAACAGAAACAACTGTCCTAAAGTTCTTACAGTCAAAAGCCGCATGTTCAGCCATAGACTTACTTTTGCATGTGATTAAAGAAAGGGTGTGGCGCTTTCTAGTGTGATGTGGAGTACTTTTGACATATAAAATCAGGGGTGTTGAGTCCTAATTTTGATTTTTATTTAGACTTCCTCAGACATTTGTTCTAATTAAGCACAGCTCCCTTCCACCTTCCTTTGCTACACACACCTCTTTTTTTTCAATCTCTTCCTTTAGTGCCCAGTAGGCTTAAGGACATGAAGGAGAAATGGTGGCCACAGCAGTAAGAGGCACACCTGTTCCAATCAACTCTTCCATGTTCATGACAGATACTGCTGATTGGTCTCTCTTGTCTACTGAGAAGAACCCAGGGCTTCATGGAACCACCACAAATAGACCAGAATTAATTTATGAGATGAACCCATTTGTACATTTGTATTCCTGAGAAAAGCACAGGATCATCTATTTGTGGAGTTATATCCAAAGGGTTAAACTCCTCATAGGTTGCTAGAGTGAAGAACAGTGAAGAAAGTCTAGTACATTTAAACATCTAGCCTTATAATGTGACTGGGCAGTAACTCACTTAGTGAGAGTTGCTAATTTCTCCTGTTTTCTACATGACCAATGTGAAAGATACTGAATACTGCAAGCAAGTTCTGTGAAAAGTATTTGTATGATAGTCATGAATGGGGAGGGCCCATCCACTTCCAAGTGATCTAGATTCATTACTGACATTTCACATATGGTTTTGGCAAACCTCAGATACAAGTACAAATGGTCCAGTCAGCAGGCCAGGCCCCAGAAAAATATCAAAGCTTGTTTTGAGAGGGCTTCCCACTCCCTCTCTGTCCTCATCTACTTAGTTCCTCCAGGGTGCTATTGGTGCCTCAAGCACCCTGACCCAGGTCTTCTTCCCTTGCTGTAGCACGTTTTTCCACACCATCCCCTTTGCACCTGGGATTTGCTTACTTAACCTATAATAATTGCTGCTAAGTGATAAACTTAAGCACATTAAAATTTTTAAGAGTTTATCTGAGCAAACAGTGATTCCTCAGTGAATCAGGGCTCCACTCAAGAGATGGGGAAGCAAGACATAGAAAAAGAAAATATTCGATTGGTTAAAGTCCCTAGACAATTTCTGATTAAGTGACCCTTACTTGGAGTTGGGATTGGTTTGCTTATATAGGAATCCGAAACACTGGAGCCAGCTCAGCTTAATGATCTCTCAGTTAATTTTCTGTAGCACTGCCCATGACTGAGAGGCAGCCTAATGTGGCACCCCTCCCAAGGGAAATAGCATGTTTGAGATTAAGGAACTCCGAGAATAGAAGGTGAGTTGTGGAAATGTAGGCACTAAAAACAGGCACAGGGGAGAGACCCCTCCTGGGCGGAGGCTCTGGAGGCCTTGGCATCACTGCACACAGGTCACCCCTGAATGGGATGGCACCCTGGACATGGGTGGCAATTACTGACCCGAGATCTCTTTGGTTTCAGCATGGAAGAATCCTACATTACAGCAATCCGTTCATTATCTTCCTGTTCCTGTTGACCTTCTCCACTGCCACAATCATGCAGTGCTTCCTGCTCAGCACCTTCTTCTCCAAGGCCAGCCTGGCAGCAGCCTGCAGTGGCGTCATCTACTTCACCCTCTATTTGCCGCACATCCTGTGCTTTGCCTGGCAGGACCGAATGACCGCCGAGCTGAAGAAGGCTGTGGTGAGAGCCTGGGGCTCACCCCGGCATGTATTGCCTCTGGAGGGTCTGTAGCAGCCCAGCCTGCTCTCTGAGGAAGTCTGCTTTACCTTTTGGCTCCAAATACTAAAAAGGTTAATGTAAAGCTCAAAGTGCAGGGGCAAGAGTACCAGTAATTGCCACCATGACCTCCCTAACGGTCCCTCTTCACCAATCCTACTTGATTAATCTGCCCTAAAAGTCCATGAAAAGCCAGTTCAGCCCATGGTCCCCTTTATTTATAAGTGAGAGGAAAACCAGGTGACCATTTCACTCACCTTCCTTTTCTTACTGTTTGAGAAGAATCAGAAAGGGGGGAGCTAATCCTTCACTGTTCAGAAAGATGTTTTCATTATCTAAAAGGGGCTTTTCCTACTCCAAAAGAACTTGGATCAAACTGGTTCTACAAGTGTCTTTGACATGCTCCCCAGTACATGCAAAATTGGTGCAGAAATGAACCCCCAGAGTCAGTCAGGCTTTCTGGCCAAGAGAGGACTCCTGAAATTGACTTTTGACTGCCTGAGAGACCTCTTAGTTCAGAATTCCCAAACTAACACTGGTCTTCTCTCTAATTGTTTTAAAATGGGCCATTTCCACCCTCTCATTAGCCCAGACTAATCAGCCTCAGTCCTGGAGGGTGCAGTTTTCCTTGTCCTCCAGAATCACACTGTCTCTGTGCTGTCAGTCAAGAGAGGACTACTGCCTGCCTCTCTTTAGCAGAACTTGTTCTCATAACACAAACTCATTTGGCTGCAGAGCTGCCAGGGCATCTGCCTTTTATTTCTCATGTTAAATAAGCAGTTAGTTGCTGCTATATATAGCTCCCAATTTTCTAAAATGATCACAGTGTAGTGGTAGAAATGCTGCATCAGCCTAAGGGCAAAGCTGAGCTGCTTTGGTATGCAGTAGTTAGTCAGACAGTATTTTTGAGGCCAAGCCAGCATCTTGGGAATGTGGATCCATAGGAAGTTATAGATCTGACAACTGTGTGGACAAGAACTGGGCTGAGATTTTTTTTTAAAGTGCTTTATGTAGACATAGAGCTAGAGAATCTCTTCTTTTCGCAGAGAGACACCCTGAAATCTCTCCAAGGACGTCCAAACTACAGGGAGACCTCTGAGCACAGAGGGGTAGCAAATGGGGGGTAGCAAATTCTTCTGCACATGCTTTGCAGGGACCACCATTGAGGACTTGGCTGGGGAACTTGCTCTTCATATTTTTTTCTACATTTCACCTGTTCAGTTGACTTGTTCTTTGGTCAGAGTGTAAGGGTCCAGCGAAGCGTCGGAGAAAGAGACCACCAAGTGACCACTCATGCAATTGGCAGAAGGGGATTTATTGAACCAGCATGCTGGGGCTCCGTGCCCACTCAAGAAGGGAAAGCAGCCCAGAGCCCCGAGCAGGGGCTGAGCACTGCTTAAGTACACTTTTTGGGGAGGGCGGAGGGCTTTGTATACATCAGAACAAATCATCATACACCGCGGGAAAGTCAAGCAACAATTCTTAGACTTGATTAGTACATACATTTGCGGGAACAGGTCAGGCGGGAGTGATAGGTCATTTCTAAGGAGGGGGTTACATTTAAACTGATTGGTCCAGGCCCTGCAATGCCTACGTGCGACCACACAGAGCCCTTCAGTTATTAAACAACCAAATAGTCAGGGGAAATATTTACTGGGCAGTTCCAAGCATTGTCTTAACAGCTACAGAAATTTCAGGTTTTGCAGGTAGCATAGAAACCTAACAATACCTAATCCTTTACATTTTAACTCAGACCTTGCAGCTTAGAAACTTTACAACACCCGGTCTTTTACCCTTTAACTTTTACGCTTTAACTTCAATTTCTTTTACCCTTACAAGAGAACCTAAATAAATTCTAATCTTCAGTCTGAAGATGGGAAATGTCCATGTAATCTCTGGCTTTTCTGACCTATCTGACAGGCCTCAGGAGGCCACAAGACCATTCCTTGCCCCAGGAAACTGATGGCTTTGTGGACTTCTTATAGGGGACAGACAAGGCAGGGCACCAAAGGCAGCAGGAAACAGTTTTATTTGGCTGCAGCCAGATTCAGAGCATACAACTTTTGCTGTAATCAATTAATCCCCTGAACCCCAAGTTCAGGTAGTTTCAGAACTTTACACCCAGTGTATAAGTGGAGGGGCTCAGAAGTTCATTTAAAAGCAGCTTTTTCTTTAACTGTTTTGGGCAAGTTAATCCTTCAAGGACATTGCCTGAGAGGGGAGAGCTTCTTCTCCCCTTTCTTTCCTGCGCCTGCCAGCTGTTACCATGGAGCCCAGTGGGTAACTTATCTTAGAAATGTAGGCACCTTTGTAAGGCTCCAGCTCAAGGCCAGAGGCCTTGTTAAAGGATTTGTCTCTTTTTTTTTTAAATCACATTTTGCATTTGCAAACACACTTTTACAAACTACTATACTGGATAAATGTTTGTGAAAAATTAGGAAAAGTGGCACTCAGCACCTGGAATGCTGATCTCTTCCAGGCCAGTGGCCAAATAAAATAGAACAACAGGAAAATAGGAAGTTTAACTATATTGAACTCTTTTGTAGAGACTTGTTTGCTGATAGTCCTAAAATCAATTATGATGAAGATTTCTGGAGAAGTTTAATTAAGATTTTCTGTGGAGGGGGGGGGGTGCCACTACAGACTCTTCCAGTGGGATTGTCATAACACAGCTCAAGTTAACATCTTTGTTCTACCCAGAACCATGTGGGTTTCCTCCAAAACAGAAAGGAAAGGAGGAACAGATAGGGAAGAACATGAGAGCTATTGGTTCTGTGGTGTGTTATGCTGTGTGACATTTCTTTGTCTCCCCATTGCACTACAACATGACTATGTTCCATTGAACAGATGAGCATGGCCCAGTGGATATTGGGCAGGGGTCTCTGAGGCCTGAGAAGCATCCCCAGAATTCTCACCTATGGGAAAACCACCGTAACCCCTCCCTGACTGGCCTAACATTCAGACACAGCATGAACCCTCTTTTGGCACTCCTCCCTGTATGCGGGCTTCTGGGTGCTGGTGGGTTGGGTAAAAGACCCTCTGCTTGTCTTTTCCGTCCTGTTTACCCCACTGCAGAGCCTGCTGTCCCCTGTGGCATTTGGGTTTGGCACTGAGTACCTGGTTCGCTTTGAAGAGCAAGGCCTGGGGCTGCAGTGGAACAACATTGGGAACAGTCCCGTGGAAGGGGATGGGTATAGTTTCCTGCTGTCCATGAAGATGATGCTCCTTGATGCTGCTATATATGGCTTGCTTGCCTGGTACCTTGACCAGGTGTTTCCAGGTGGGTGTCTCCCTCCCTAGGATAAAGGTGATTGTGTTCTTCAGATTCCCAGATCTCACTCAACCATCTAGTTTAAATTTTATGTCTTCTTAGATCTTTGAATTTGGGTTCCAGAACCAGCATTTAAAACTTAAATCTAGAAGCCAAAGATACACCAGCAAATTTGGTTGGCTCTACTTTAGAAATAGATCCAGAATCTGTTTCATGTCACCACTGTCTCAGTCCAAACCTCCTTCTTCCACCATTAACTCCTACCATTGTGTTCAGATAGAACTTTTCAGAATCTGGGTCAGATGGTGTCAACCCTCTCTGTTCACATCCCTCCAGTGGCTTTTCTCTCATTTCAGAGTAAAACCCAATGTCCCAACTCTGACCTAGCCCATGCTTATTATCTGGCTCTAGTTATCTTTCTCATCTCCTGTCCTTCCCTTCTCCCTCATGTTTCTCTTCTCCAGATGCATTAGCCTCCCCCTTGAATGGTCCCACCCTAAGTATACTTCTTCTGCAGGCCTTTGCACCTGCTCTTCTCAATGCCAGGAGATGTTTCTCTCTCTCCCTCATACCTGCAGGCTCATTTCCTCATTTTGTTCAGGTCTCTGTTCAGATGTCTCCTCATTACAAGGATCTTTCCAGACTAATGATATCTATCACTATATAAACAACATTCCTTCTGTGCCTACCTCCCCATATTCTACTTTATTTTGGGAAATGATTATCACCACCTGATATGATATCTTTTTTTAAATTTTTTTATTAGTTGCTCAAAACATTACAATGATCTTGACATATCATATTTGACTCTCTACACTTAGAATTTAAGCCCATGAAAGCAGGCACTTGATCTGTTTTGATCTCTGTGACAGTACTTGTGCCCAGAATAGTGCCTGATACTTAGTAGTGCCTGACACTGAATAAATATCTAATTAATCTGTAGCATGAAAAATCAGCTCCTGAAACAAAATTGTATATTTCCACAGTTTTATATTAAATCAGATTTTCCTTCAAATTAGCATTTCCTATACCTTGAGAATATCTTCCTTGTGCTATGGTAGCTGGGTCTGATGCTGTGACCAAGAGCAGGTAGGGGAGGGTGAGGTGGGTTCTGGTCCCTGGGGAGAGACAAGCTCATGATTCTCAGATCATCTCAAAGCAGCCTTTGTTGGCAAAAATAAGTAGGCAGCAAACTTCAATGGGAGAAAGATGGCTAGGCTGAGTCCAGAGGCCTGGGCTTGGATGTATATTCGTTTCCTAGAGCTGTCATACTAAAATACAAAAATGGGTGGCTTAAGGGGCTGGGGATGTGGCTCAAGTGGTAGCGCGCTCGCCTGGCATGCGTGCGGCCCGGGTTCGATCCTCAGCACCACATACAAAACAAAGATGTTGTGTCCGCCGAAAACTAAAAAATAAATATTAAAAAAAAAATTCCCTCTCTCTCTCTCTCTCTCTGTCTCTCTCTCTCTCTCTCTCAAAAAAAAAGAGAATACATCACTAAAAAAAAAAAAATGGGTGGCTTAAGACAAT